AGCATCAGAATTATGCATTTTATCCAGTTTTTACATACTTTTCATAATACTGTTTACACAAAATGTGCGATTTTTTTTTTTGGTTGGCTTATATTTCTGTTAATTTATGTCTCCCATCTTAAATATTATGGCGACCTATACATTTTTTGCAATAATTGGAAAATTAAAAGTATATTAAATGAAAATAAATGCAGTTTTTATACTTTGAGCCATTAGAATTGTGAGGGTGGAAAGATCTTAAGTTTAATAAAGCTTATTAACACAAAATGTTAATAATACGATTGTGTTCTCAAAATAAAGATTTCTATTCAACTTAGCCTTGAGCTTGCCCCTGTACGCGTATGTAGCACAGATATTTTATAATGAGATGAGAGAAGGGAATTTCTTCCACACATATTGTAAATGAAATTAGGAATTTTTCAGGACTATCCACACAAGCATGTCCTCAGTAAAAACCAACGTTAAAGCTATGCGTCGATTTATGAACAATACCGATAAAGGAATTAAATATGTGTACTAGTATAATCGCATCAAGCCAAAAAAAATTGTAAAAAGTGCGTGAGCTCTGGTCACCTTGAACCAATCCACCAACAAGAGATACGATCAAGTCAACTGTTGGCGGTACTTATACAGTTCTGTCTGCAGGCTCTTCCAGTCAAGGGACGTCTTGCCAATGTCATCATAATTAAATGCACAACTCTCGTTGGGCCATGATAGCATAAAACACGCATGAAACAGGAAAAGACGAGGAACAGTGATATACATGTACATATTTTAAAAACCTACAGAATATACATATGTGAACAGGGCATAAAACACGAAACCCCAGAATTCTGTCCATGCAAGCAAAGGTCGGGTCATATGGTGTCTATATAGTATTCCCAATCAGCTTAACTGAACAAATGGTTTACATAAGTAGTTCAACTGTTTCTTTAGACCCCATTTCCATAAACTGAAGCCTTTTGGGATGTGTATACCTTAACTGTTTCCAGATAGGATTTTTCTGTTTTCTTTCTTGCATAACCAGTGGAAATACATAATCTCAGCGACAGACATATGGCTTTGAAATTCTATTTTAAGACACTAAATGAAAACACATTTCTGTGAGCATGCGGATTAATACTATCGTCAGATTACGCCATCTGCTATTACGCAGTTGTTCGCATAGTTTTCTTGCATTTGTGATAAAAATATTGCGCCATAAATATGCTAAGAATATATTTTGGCAACTCGTAACATTCACAAAAGTTGGTTGATATTTATGAATGGCTGAATGATTGATTAATGTAAGATAGTAGCGGAACTCACTACTAATATAAATTTCAACAGAGTTTAAAAAGGCATTGATGAATTTTGATAAAACAAAGTAATCAGTTTGTCCGGCTAGACTGAAAAGCTATCGGGAATTTACAGAATACTAATCTTGATGGAAAACATTATTGAAAAGCAACACAATGAACAATTAAGCTATATTTAGCCCAAAGGAGAGAAAATTGAAAACGAGTAAAGCTAGGATACGTACAAAAAAAAAGTTGAATGGATAAAAACGTATAAAAAAGTTTTGAGTAAACAGAAATATTTGAAAATTTTAAATGTTTATTTTCGAAGTTTTATTTTTATACTTATTTATTTAGTGTTACTGTAGCAACCTAGCTTCTACCTTTATTCAAAATCATAGTATGTATGCATTAAAACAGATATACACACATATGCAAAATTCAAATTAAATAAAGGTCTCTTTGCTGTATGTAATAAAAGCATTCTTCTTCAGCCAAGCATTTCTACTAAATATTTTTTAAACACAAAAGAATTAATCAGCAAGCAACTTACCTAATTGATATGAAGAGAAATTAGTTCATATTTCTGTCTTTGTAGATGTAAAAGAAATCCAAAAGAGAGAGATAGAGAAATCCTAGAATCCTGTAAAGAGAAGATTCACACACCCCCCGAAATCAGTGGCTTATGGAAGAGGGTTATACAGAGATGTTAATTGGCAGAGGGTGGTGTTTAATTAATAACATATGGCATATCGGAGAGGGGTTCCGATATAGGCTTCTATAGCTTCCAATCGTAACAATGGTCAAGGTGAAGAAGTCGGCTCCATGCGCCGTGTCTGAAAAAATGTTATATGTATCAAAAATGATAAATCGTGTTCTGATGAACGGCGTGCAACTGGCTTGAATCAGTATAGAGACAATTTTTTTTTCATAATTGCATATGGAAGGGAAATTATAACACTTTGCAAATCAAATTTAAAAAATATATATGTAAAAAGAAATTTATATACATTCTTCTTCGTTTTTAACAAATATATTTTAAATTTAACTTTTAAGGAACTTTGCGCCCTTCGCTTGGAAGCGATTTTCTCCCTTTAATTGTAACAGGTGCTTGTCAATCACTTCTTTTATCAACAACTTTCCGAACTATATACGCGAATGCTCTTCCAGGAGCCTGGATCCTGGAGTTCTTGGCTCTGATTTACAGATGTATTAACGTAATATCGACACGATTGGCATCCCCAGTTGTTTCTAATTAACGCTCAGAGTAGATTCATCGACAATTGCAAGGTGATCAAAATATCACAATGGCTTCGTATAAAATATGGACTGGAATGAAACCCTTCAATTCACATTACGAATAAACGAGAAAAGCTTGACGAAATTATACTTTGGGCTACTGAAAATTAACGTAAACAATAAATTCCAGTATATCAAAGAAGGAAGAGATGAAATGTTGTCAAAATACTGGTTATTTTTACGATTTTAATCCTTTTGCAAAAAGTGCTCTCATAATAAATGAAATTTCTATCCTTTGGATAATGGTTTAGCTGCAGGAAAAAAATTACGTTTTAATTACTTCCTTTTTAAAACAAAAGAACAGCCAATGAAACTTTATATAAAATAATAGCGGAATAAATGTTTCTTAATTTCGATTTTTCATTTTTTCTCTTTTATTGAAATAAATTTATGTCTATTTTTGTAATTTGTATTTTCATACCTGGAACCAAAACTATTAGTATAGCGAACAAAGTAGAACTGCATCTAATTTTTTTCACAAATGATCGAGTATTTTAGATGAATCTTAACTCAGTTGTTGCATTGCTCCCCTACGGATTTTGCACTAAAAGAAATTAATTTAAAAACGTTAAAAAACGAATCTCTAGGATTTAATAACATCAAAAGCATTCACATATATAAATATTATGCAATAAAATATTTGCTAAATCGAATTTCCTACGTTTTTATAAAATCTGTTGTTTCAGGATATTGGTCTTTTTCTTTGTTTCATATTTTAATGCTGTTGCTTATTTTCGTATATAGGGAAGAATATAAACTGAATCCGAAATGATAGATAAACACTCATTTGATAAGAGAGAAACACGTTTCCATATCCCGTTCGTCTTCCTTTACCGGACCTCTTACTGTGGTTTTTCCTGTTAGGAACCCCCTATTTTAGAATTAGCAGGCATTGGTCAGTCGCAGACTTTTCTTTTACAAACATTTAAATCCAAATAGACTAGGTCCATATTTACATGCTTTATTTCTCTGTTTAGTGTACAACCCCCGATTTCTAGATAGTTTTTTTCATAGCCAACGGTGAGTTTTTATATATTTTGAATATTTTAGCACTACTTTAAGACGTGTTACCCTGCGTAAGGATGCAATGCCTAAAGTTACTGTTTGTTTATACGGGTCCTGCTGGGAAGGGCTGCTCATGCATGAAACATTTCTATACTTCTACAATATACAGAAATACCGAATGGTATTTAATTTGCCATTCTTCGCAGGCAGCTGGGAGTTGTTAGTTTAGTTGTCCAAACATCTTGAATTGTTTAAGGCTCTGTTCTTATATACTGTCTACTTTTTATGTTACTGAATAGGAAAATGCTTTCAAATGAAAATGTTTACTTTTTCTTGACAGTTTTTTACCTTTTAAGTAGTTAGAGCAAAACATAAATAATTTTTAAACCCAGTAGATGCAAATGCAATCAGTTGCAAGTATAGTATAGATGAGAGAAAGGTAATCTTGAAAATTAACGATTAACATTTAAATCAATGATTCGCGAATGCTGGGCACTTGATCGGTCAATTGAAAATTAATGAGCAGGGCATAAAACATGGACCCGGGAAAATTCGAAAGCTTGGATCAGGTGCCTAGAAGGTGTAAGCATCCCCGTTGTCCCCAACACGCCCTGGGCACTAAACACAGACCCTATGTAGACGTACGCTCATCTTCGCTAGCCAAGGGTGACGATCCGCTCCTCTCCTCTTTTCACAGGAGAGGAGCGGATCGTCACCCTTGGCTAGCGAAGATGACGTACCCTAGGTCTTTTTATAAATACTAGTTTTGTCTCTAACTAATTGCTTCTTACCTCCTTTATTATGCAAACAGGAATTATCACCGTACTACATTGCACATTTTTAACATTAATTTATTTTTCATAATTTAAGATAGTCAAATTTGGTTTAAAGTTCATTTAATTGTGGTATCATCTTTTTTTAAAAGTTTAAATATCATTCTAAATTAATTTCGGTTCCAGTTTTTAAAGAAACAAAATGGCCGCTCCCACATCCTGGCCCAAGGATAAAGAAGATCGAACAGTCCAAGGTGGAGAACTCAATTCAGAGTTGGGGGACTACAAAGATTCGCTGGCACATACTTCATTATCCAGTCTGACAAATGAAGTCTCCCATTTATCTACAAGAGAGTTATTAGACGAAGCCAGAGTGATAGCCACCATTCCTACTAAGGTTTAACCTCGGTATAGAGTATCATGTGGGGGATTTAATGAAGTGTGGATTAGTGGAAGAGAAAACGCCATCAGACGTATTGACCTGAATGGATGTGAACTGGATTCTGTTCCCACCACGTGTACAGCTTATCCTGGCGACATCTCGGTGACCAGACAGGGAGACCTGATATACAGTGATTCTGGCAATGAAAGAGTGAACGTAGTCAGAGGTGGGAAGACGGAGGTACTGTTCACCACACCACAGGGCTGGAAACCATACACATTGTGCTGTACAAGGTCAGGGGACATAATGGTTTGTGTGTGTAGAGAGAAACTAAACAAAATTTTACGTTATGAAGAAAATATCATGACAGAGGAAATAGATAACGATGAAAATGGAATAATGATCTCAAGGCCAGGAGATAGAATAAACTTTGTTTCAGAAAATAACAATGGAGACATCTGTGTCTCTGATGGGAATGTAAACATCGTGATTGTGGTGGACAAGAAAAGAAGAGTACGATTCCGATACGATGGTACACCAGCCAGAAAGGAGAAGAAATTTAGTCCTAGACACATAGTGACAGACTCCAATAGTCACATTATGGTGGCAGATTATAATAATGCCTGTCTACACATCCTAGATCAGGATGGACGTTTCTTGAGTTGTGTGGATGGATTAGATCAACCTAATGGAATGAGTCTGGACAGAGAGGGGAGGTTGTGGGTAGGCGTAGCTAGTTCAGGAGACGTGAAAGTAATTCAGTACATTAAATAAACATAGATCTGTGACTGAAACAGTTCGGTTTCTACATTCCAAGTATTTGTACAAGTACGTGTGTCGATTGGTTAATGGATTGATTGTATGTAACAGTCAGTTCCTGTATTGATGGAGTGTACTTATTACATTTTCAGCGATGACATGTTCTGAAGTTTACTGGTGGGGAACTTTCATAAGCAAATTCATTTATTAAAATCTTCAAACCATAATATGATGTTGGTCTTTTTTGTAAAACGGTAACGTTTCTATATACCCTTTATACAACAATGTCTCACATAAAAGGAAGAGGTCCATGGGCCAATTGCTCACCAAAGTTCTGCAGCCTATATATTCCTATGTAAAACTTGGCTCGTCCATTGTCGCCCGCTCTACCCCAGCGGGTCATGATTTGAACAAACATGAATCTACATTAGCTGAGAATTATGGCAAGCCCTTTTACTATTTATTCGTAAAATATTTTTTTCTTTCAAAATGAGAGATATCTCTCTAGCATAGAGAGATATCTCTTTAGCTTATGGAGATATCTCTTTAGCTTATAGAGATATCTCTTTAGCTTATAGAGATATCTCTTTGACTAATAGAGATATCTTAATACTTTAGACAGATATCTCTTTCAACAAAAGAGATATCTCTTTTAGTAAGAGAGATATCTTTATAAGCTAGAGAGATATCTCTTTAAACGAGAGAGATATCTCTTAAAGTTAGAGAGATATCTCTTTAACAAGTTTAAAAGAGATATCTCTCTTAATTAGAGAGATATCTCTTTAGATTTTCAAAAAGAGATATCTTTCTAAGCTAAAGAGATATCTATTTTAATGAAAGAGATATCTCTTTTCCAATCACCCTTAAAATAAAATAACTAATTCTCCCGTTAAAAACGAAAGCGAAACAGGAAGTAATGTCTGTTAAGTCGTTCGTTTTCTGGTTATTGAAAAGAAGAGGATAAAATGGACTGATTGATACAGGTAAACAACGTTTAATTGCTTTATTGTTTTAAGCAAAAGTAACAGGATTTCAAACCAAAACGTCCCCAAAGATTGGTTCCATATTATATTTATTTCATTTATTTAGCTCACAGGACAGCTGAGCCGGGGATATAGAATGCGAAGTCAATAATTGAATAAAAACAAATTCGAAATAGGCCTACATGCACCCAATTTCATCGATCACGGGAATACAGGATTGATTACCAAGTCGATTAAAACATAATCCTGATAGAATTAATGTTCTTTTTTAATTAATTAATACTCCAAAAATAAAAACGTCCAACATTACTTCTTTCATGTAAACAGGGATGTATATATTCAACTTCAATATTAACTGTAGGACGTTAAACGACATACATGTACGATCAATATATTAACTGTAAAGTCTTATGACCCCCTTCCCAAACACAGGCACCTGAAGTATGGATAATACCCCCCCTTTTTTTATATATTTTTTAAATTTAACAAAAAAGGGGGGTATTATCCATACTTCAGTTGCCCGTGTTCCCAAATACTCTTACAATTATGAGAAAGACATTTTATTTTCTTATAATAGGCATTAGAAATAGGAATTTTCTTATTTGTTTTAGCTAGAACAATCCCCAATTTATCCAATGTTGTCACCAAACAGGTCTGCACTGGGTCCATAAGACATTCATCATTCAATGGTAGAACATTTTATCTACATTTGTCATATTTTACAGAGATCCAGGAGGTACTGAAAAAGGGACAATGCTTCGACTGAATGTGTCATCCATGTACCAGTATAGACCTGTTAATGAGGCATATCCAATAATTCTTATACTCATGAAGAGTGTGGCAACTCCCAAGTAGTTAAGGATGGCACTCATTTTAAATCAGGTACAGGATAATTTTTTGGGCTGCACTTTTCTTTACTTCATTATTTCAAACTTACTAGTTAAGTATCAAGTCCACAAAAGCTCAAACACCATGGTGAATCAATTGACCATAATGATAGTTAAATTTGTCATATGCTTTCTTATTAAATTATCAATTTGAAATTTGATTGGTAAACAAGAGGCCCATGGGCCATATCGCTCACCTGAGAAAACTTTGGCCATGCTGTTCTTTAACAGGTTTCCCCCCTTCGTAATACCAATTGTGACCAAGCCCTATCCCCAGGGGTTATGATTTGGACAATTTAGAATCTACACTACCCCAAGATTCACATAAGTTTCGGCTTTTTTGGCCCAATGGTTCTTCAGAAGATTTTCAAAGATTTTTCAATATATATTTCAATGTAAAACTTGGATTCCCTACTGTAGCCTCGCCCTACCCCCAGGGGTCATAATTTGGAAAATTTTGAATCTACACTTACCCCAGAATGCTTCGACATAAGTTTGAGCTTTTCTGGCCCATTGCTTTTTGAGAAGATTTTAAAGATTTTTCCTATATATTTCTATGTAAAACTTGGATTCCCTATTGTGGCCCCGCCCTACACCCGGAGTCATGATTTTTACAATTTAGAATCTAGACACTACCCCTGAATGCTTCCACATAAGTTTCAGCTTTTCTGGACCAGTGGTTCTTGAGAAGAAGATTTTAAATTTTTTCCTATATATTTCTATGTAAAACTTGGATTCCCTATTGTGGCCCCACCCTGCCCCCTGGGGTCATAATTTTTAGAATTTAGAATCTACACTAACCCAGAATGCTTCCACATAAGTTTCAGCTTTTCTGGCCAAATGGTTCTTGAGAAGAAGATTTTTAAAGTTTTCTCTATATATTTCTATGTAAAACATAGTTTCCCTATTGTGGCCCCGCCCTATCCCCGGGGGTCATGATTTTAACAATTTAGAATCTACACTATCCCAGAATGCTTCCACATAAGTTTCAGCTTTTCTGGCCGAATGGTTCTTGAGAAGAAGATTTTTAAAGTTTTTTCCTATATATTTCTATTTAAAACTTGGATTTCCTATTGTGGCCCCGCCCTACCCCCGGGGGTCATGATTTTAACAATTTAGAATCTACACTACCCTAGGATGCTTCCACATAAGTTTTAGCTTTTCTGGACCAGTGGTTCTTGAGAAGATTTTTTAATGACCCCATCCTATTTTTGTCTCCCCTTGGAAAGGGACTTGGCCCTTGATTTTAACAATTTAAATTCCCCATCACCCAAGGATGCTTTGTACCAAGTTTGGTTAAAATTGACCCAGTGTTTCTTGAGAAGTTGAAAATGTGAAAAGTTTACAGACAGACAGACAGACAGACAGACGGACGGACGACGGGTGATCAGAAAAGCTCACTTGAGCTTTCAGCTCAGGTGAGCTAAAAACATTTATTAACAAGTACAATTCTTCTACTGTGTGCCTGTCATCCCAACAATTCCAAATGCACATCAATAAGTTCTCCATGAAAATTGCTAACTGCGCAGAATGGTTGCACATTTTTTCAATGAACGACATTTTCTTAACATTGAATCCTTCAGTATAACAAGACAAATATTGCATGCTTATTTTAATACAAAATAAATAAACTTAAGAACAAATTTAAGGATTGAAGTTTAATTTGTATATTTGGTAGTTACATGCGTAATTAGTTTTATATATAAAGGATGTACACAAGCATTTTATAACATTGAAAATATTTAAGAAAGTATTCTCTTAATTTCTTGTAGATCCTCACTTCTAGGATGTTTTCCATGTTCTTGTGAAAAGTGTTTTACATGGCACCATTAAGCTACAAATACTTTGCCGGTGGAACTGTGACATCAATCAACTGCTCATGCCACTGCTAATTGGCAGAATTTCCTTTGGGACAAGCAAACTGTTTCAAATATATTTTACACCTGCAAGTTAGTACTTATGAAATTTTGTTTGCAGGAAGCTAAAAGCTAATGAGTACTGAAAATACAAGCCAGATGAAGTACAAAAGTGTTCATACAAGTCATTTAGAATTTTCAATTCTTTGCAGGTAGTGATGAGTGTACTGGAAGTTTTTTCGGGATCTTGTCTGACATCATAGGTACAACTGGTCACTGTGCTTTCTTGGTTATATAAGCAGGCATATTGTTAAAGCGGTGACACATGTAGCTTCAAATGATGCTTGACTGTTTAAGTGTTTTTCTTTGATTTATAAGTAAACCTGGATTGATCTCTGATGCAGTAATATAGAGCCATGTCCATTCTTTAATATTCCATCATCCCACTGTCACAAAGTACTGAAATAAAAATGATTTTGATTTTAAACATTTTTGGTTTTTATATGTAACATAAAATTCTACAGAAATTCAAATATTAAAACTACTTCAAAACAAGATGTGTTTGTGAAACACTATGCACCAGGCGGCAACAAATTCAAACAAGTTTTTTTAAGCATATAGGTCATAGTCAAGGTCACAAGGTCATTAGCCTTGGTGTCATTTGAAAGAGCTTAATTAGTGGAGTATGCAAATCAAATATGAAGTCTCTATCTTTAACGGTACAAAAGGTATGGTGAAAGTTCAAAATGGTATTTATAGCATTAAAGTCACATTAAAGGTCAAAAGTTCACTGGCCTTGGTGTCATTTGAAAGAGCATAATTAATGAAGAAGGCATTCCAAATATGATTTCTCTATCTTTAATGTATCAAAAGTTAAGGCGAAAGTTTTTAAAAAAGCTATTTTAGCATATAGGTCACAGTCAAGGTCACAAGGTCATTGACCTTGGTGTCTTTTGAAAGAATTTAATTAGTGGAGTAGGCATATTAAATATGAAGTCTGTATCTCTCATGGTTCAAAGGTTAAAGTTGACAAAAGACAAACAGACATAGAAACAGGATATAAACAATAGACAATAATTCACTTTTTTTTATGATTATGTATATTAATGTGACTGAATTTTGGAATCAATTTGTACAAAGGTTTAGTGTCATTGAAAAAGATTACAAAATATCCAAAAGAACTGTTTTACTTGTTAATATAGAAGGAAGTTGTTTAGAAAATTTTCTTTTATTAGTTGCAAAAAATTTAATTTACTATTCAAGATCACAAGATAGTAAGCCATTATTTATTGATGCAGTAAAGTTATTCAAGTATTACAGAAACATAGAAAATTGTTGTGAAAAAGTTTTTCAATGTAAGGACAAAAAAATCAGTTACTGAGTAAATGGGTCCTGTATGATAATGTGTACAACAAGTGATGAAAAAATCAAAATTGTAATTTTTAATTAATTTAAATCTACACATTTGGGTACATCTGTTTTGTTTTTGGATAAATTGTATGTTTAACTGTCATATGTTTACATATATGTACCGGTACATTTATTATGCCCCCCCCCCCCCCCCCTTGAAGAAAGGAGGGCATATTGTTTTGCTGCTGTCTGTCAGTCCATTTAGTTTCCATTCATTTTCTTCACAACCATTGCACTGAAATGAAATTTGGTATACAGCCTTACAGGTATATCAGATGAATATCTAGGTCAAGTTCTGTTTTGGGTATGATCATCGCACCATTTTTGACAGAGTTATACCCCTTGGCTTTAGAAAAATTCCAATTACTTGCAATTTCTGTTCATTTCCTTTGCAGAGGTTGCAAATAGTGAAATGCAATTTAGTATACAGATTTATCAGATGATCATGAATATCTAGGTCAAGTTCTCTTTTGGGTATGCTTGCACCATTTTTGACAGAGTAATGCCTTTTTGGACTTAGATAAAAAATTCCAATGTGGGGGGAGGGGGGCATAAGTATTTTACAAACATCTCATAATTTTTAATTTTAGAAAGTGCACTGTGTGAGTGTGTGCAATTGTGGTGGTGAGTGGGTGAAAATTGTCTTGTGTTTGTACAGTGTATATATGGATATGGAAAATGCTTCAAAATAAAGCATTTAAAATAAGTTTTGGAAAGTATGGCAATCATATACCATGCAGTAGTCAGAAATGCTAAATAAAAGGCTGCGTAGAAGAAAAAAAAAATAATTAAAACTACCAATCAATTAAGTATTTAACGTAAATCTTTTAAGATGAAGGTTTTGCTTTGTCAGATTCTTTGCTTATAGGGACACTTACCTTTAATAATGTCATGACAGGTGAGGCACATGGCTGGTCTTCATGCTGGATCAGTTCTTAGTTAAAACCATCCAGTATTGCACCAAGATTGCCAGATGTACAGACAAAACCTGTAATTTAGCAAGCTTCTGTAATATGCCAATTGAATTATTACATAGGCCATAGTTGTATGTGCAACTGATAATGATGTAGGACTAAGGTGCCTGACAAATAATGAGTTATAAATCTTACAAATATCCATTTATTTGATACAAATCTTAACTTTCTTCATTAAATTTTATCAATGATTGTACAAGAAAATCAGAATAAAAATTTTCCTTTTTATACATAAAAAATATTTTCATTTAAAATCTTTTTATTTAAAAATATTTGTTGCATTTTCATATTTAGGGTACCCTTCCTAGGCCAACAATAAAAAAAATGATTTGTTTGATGTACTCTGATCGACCTGTTAAAATAGCCCCTACCCATTTGCATTCATTTCTTGGGGGCACTTAAAATTTTTTAACACCCCCCTTAATTTCCATAGATGTTTTAAAGATAAGGTATCATATTTTTTTTTAGGATGCTTTTTAATTTATAAATACAAAGTCTTTGTAACTAAATGAAAACATTAACAGATTTCTGAGTCTGTGGTTTTAAATATGACAGTTATCAATTTATTCAATGCTGTAAGACATAAGAAAAAAAACTAGAAATATGTCCACAGGACAGGAATGCCCGCCAAGGGTATATTAGTCATGCAAAATGAAAATTTGTATGAAATTTGATCAGAATATCTTGAAAAATGTTACAGTTGAATTGCTTACATCAGTATGTATCAGCATATGAAGTTTGACACTAATTTCAGAGATGTGAGGTCAAAGTCAAATAAAAGGTCAACGTCATGTTGATGCAGTTGAATTGCTTACATCAGAATGTATCACCATATGAAGTTTGACACTAACTTAGGAAAATTGAGGTCAAAGTCAAAAGAAAGGCCAAGGACAAAAAATGTTTGTTTCAGTTGAAAAGCTCTCATCAGTATGGTAAGTTTGATACAGTAAATCTCGTTTCGTACGAACACGAATATTGCGAATTCATGGGTATAGCGAAGTCATCTTGGATTCCCAGCTATAAAATTTCAAAGAATTTCTTATACGATTATAATGAATTATGGATATAGCTAAGTAATTTCATAGGTCCCAGCAACTTTGTTATAACCGAGTATTGCTGTAACACCATCTTGAATGGTATGTTTAAAACTAAGTTAAACACTAATTTAAGAAAAGTGAGGTCAAGGTCAAAGGAAAGGTCAAGGACAGAAAATGTTGATGCAGTTGCATAGCTCTTATCAATAACTATCAGCAAAGTTTGATGAAATATCCTGTATAGTTTCTTTGAAACTGGGCTTTGAACTGAGCTAAACGCAAAGTGTGACGCATGGACAGAAAGACAGAAGACAGACATGACAAACGCTATATGCCCAGGCCATAATCATGGTGGGGCATAAAAAAACTACCGGTACCTACCAACCTACCTGCCAACCTTGATAAAAGTGGGTAGGAGTACATCAAACAAATATATTTTTAAAGCTGGCCAGTTGTTGACTAGTATATTAGTCATTATGTTCCCCAAACGAAGTTGGGGAACATATTGTTTTTACTCGGTTTCTTATTATTATTAAGGTCTTCCGTTTCCAACGGAAGACCTTATTGTTTTCGTTCGGTTTCTTTTTCCCTATTATTATTATTATTATTATTATTATTATTTTTTTTCTTACCGATTTTTGTGCACGCCAGTTCTCGTAAACGGCTCGGTCGATTTTCACGAAACTTTCAGATCTGATAGATATTGGTCTGAACCTTGTTGGAAATTTTTTATAAGTACGTCGTCACTTCCGGTCGTGAGATATGGACGATTTACTGATTTTAAGAGGGTCAGCTTGTCCGGGCAATCACTAAAAAACGAATGAAGATATTGACTTGAGATTTTCAGTGAAGGTAGAGGAAGGATTGCTAAATTGCTTTTTTGAGTCTATATCTTTCCATCGCAAAAGGGTTGAAGCTCGCCTGAGCTCGTTATAATTATTATTTTTCTGACCATCAAATTTTGTGCACGTGATTTCTCGAAGACTACTGGATAGATTTTTATGAAATTTGCAAGAACAATGTGTTGCTATCTCAAGTTATTATATCCTGGAGATTTTTTGGAAATTCCTTTCTGGTGCCAAGTTACGGACAATTTTCTGATTTTGAAATGACATTTTGTTCGCGGATAATCTAAAGAACGGTAAAAGATATCACTGTGAAACTTTCAGGGATTATAGATTGTGATAAGTACTATCCAAGACGCGATCTTTTGTACATCGTCTCTACTTCCTGTCGTAACGGCATGCAAAGAAAAAAAGTCAAATTTTTTAACTTTTTTGTTTTTCAATATTTTCAAATCATATTTGTATGGTTGATAGAAACATTTCTCATTAGGCTGAATATATAATTTGTTTGTAAATTGATGAATTCGAACTCGAGATATTAACATTCAAAAGTCTGAAGCGGGATCTTAATGGCGGCAGTCTCTGTCAATTCCAACATTTCGCAATAGGGGTTTACAGAGGCAGCCGAGCGTTTGCTTGAACGAAAGTAACATAAGGAGCAATGAAATGTGTAGGGATACTTGGATTGTCACGTCGTAGGTTCGTTGCAATTCGGTGTCAAACTACATTTATTATCCAAGGTCTACTTACAAGTCTTCTTTAATTGGTTTTGGTTGTTTCTCAAAGTAGAAATAGAAAAGAATTAATGTGCAAATGAAGTACAATATCTATATCTTTTGTTTTGCATCACGGTAACACATAGCTGAAATCATAGTTATAATTAATAGTTTTTCAAGAATGTAGTAAGTAAAAAACGTGACCACTGTTTTCTAATGCACACTTGTGTCATATTAAATCAATAGAAAGAACAACTGTTACAATAAGAAAATATTTTATTTTTAAAGATAACAATTTTTCAAAGACCGTTTAATTGACCTATATAAACATTTTATTTTCTCAATGCAAGTTATTGAACATAATGGAATCTTTTTTTTTTTTTTTTTTTTTAATGCTTTATTTCCATGCTTTCAACACAAACATCAGATACATTTATCAAAATTTGCACAGAAATTTTTTTCACACCCACCCACTTTCGCACTTCACTCATACTCATATCAACAAAACATCAATTTTAGCAAATTTTTACATACTTTATATGGATAAAACAGGAGATAAAAAAGTATACTACATTTTATCTAAATATGTTTTTTTTTTCAGAGGATTTACATTTCCAACATAGTTTTCCAATGTGACGACTCAAAATTTTCTGCAGTTAGATTTTTAACAGATATGTAATTTTCAACCTTATAATACATTTTTAAATGGGCAATCAGCCCATTTAAATTAGGCTTCTTTGCATTTTTTAAGCAGTAAAAAATGTACTGTTTAGCATATAAAATTACAAAATTTATGACATAGTTTGAATTTGACAAAGGTAACTCTCCAAAGATTACATTCTGAATATTAAAACCTACACGTTTTGATGTGTAATTGTAAATATGTAGACTAAGATCATTCCAAATATGCATTACATCTTTACACAAGAATAGACTGTGCAATATGGTTTCACATTCATTGTTACAGAATGTACAAGTATCATTTTCTTTTATTTTAATTTTTTTAAGGTAATAATTTACAGGTAGTATTCTATGCAAAATTCTAAATTGTAGCCACTGGACAGCTGAATTTGAAGACACCTTAAAGCACACATTAAAAACATCTCTCAATTCCATTTCTTGAAATCCTTTTAGAAGCATTTCTGAATTCCATTTTGAAAAACCAGTTGGCTTTACATTCTTTGTGTTAATATTTTTATAAATATCTTTTGAACATTTATCAATCAATATTAATCTTTTGTATAACAATGGCAAAAATGGGCGCTGTAGCTTTGAGAAACCTACACTAGAAAATTTTGAATCTTTTAAAAACTTTGAAATAGCACTTATAATGCTTTTATACTGCATAAAACATACATGATGAATGCTATATTTTTTCACAAAATTCTCTCTAGATAAAAATGACCCATTGACATCCAAAAAATCATCAATAATTTTTACACCATTTTTAGACCATTCTTTATAAAAAATACTCTTTTTATTCACTTTGATACAAGAGTTTAGCCAAACTGGGGTTGATAAAATTTCAGACTGTGTAAGATTTGCCTTGTCAAAACAATTATCAGTGATGACAGATAACCAAGACTCTAAGACGTCTTTCCAAAATTTGTTTTTTGTACATTTCAACATTTTCAACACAAAATCATCACCCAAATTCAAAATCTTTTCCACAACATCTTGCCCATAAACTATTTCAAAAATACTCAACCATGAATGACTTCCTTTAATAATTCTTTGAATCCATGAACATTTTAGAGAAAGTATAAAATTTTTAAGATGTACCATGTTAAGGCCTCCCAATGTCTGGTGTTGCGTAGCAACAACACGTTTTATTTTATCACTTTTTGACCCCCATGCAAATCTAAACAACTGCTGTGTTAAATTGTCTAAGATTTCTTCATTTGGATTTGGTAATGAGATAAATAGATGGTTCAATTTTGGTACAATTAATGTTTTTGCAACTGTTACCCGTCCAATGGGAGTTAGAATACGTCTTTTCCATTGCTGAATCATTGAAGTGATTTTTGGCAATTGGACTTTGAAATTTATATCAACAATCTTTTCTAGGTCGACAGAGAAATTTATTCCTAGCAAGGAGAAAGTTGTTGCCCCCCAATCTAGCTTCCATCTCGAATGGTGGAAAACCTCAGCAGAAAATTTTTTTGAGCCTATCCAAATAATTTTAGTTTTTGTACTGTTTATTTTCAAACCTGAAAATTTTGCATATAGTTCTAATGTATCAAGAGCAGCATACAAAGAACCTGCAGAACCATCAAGGGCAAGAGAAGTATCATCAGCAAATTGAGATAATTTGTGTTCCTTATCATTTACAACAATACCCTTTATATCATGATTTTGTTTAATAAGAATGGCTAAAATTTCTGAACAGAGAAGAAAAATGTATGGAGAAACA